CTGGTGAAAATTTCATGTCATTAGCACCTCTAGTAATATATTTACTGAGAAAAATGGTGACGTGTTCAATACTTATTTTACCCGCTGTATCTCATAACCCACCCTCCTGGCAGTGCTGCTGAGATTCCAAAATGAATAAAAATATCATATAAAGCAATCATTTTTATGAGAAGACGGATGGTGAATAGAGGCAAGATGTGTGCAAAAACAGACTGTAAGAAGGTTTTAGCAACTTTGAAGGAAACTCCATTCTCCTTGGCGTCTTTTATGTTGAGATGAAAGTAAACTTCRCAAAAATATCTGATCCCATAACTTATCTTTTAATGTATTTATGACAAATATCAAAGTTGAGCAGGTATTAAAGGCATAAACAAGCCAAACTAACCAAAATCAAAATGATCTACAATAACACATTATTTCTAGCTGTTTAAACTTACAACCCAACACCTGTTTAAATGTCAGAAAAGTGTCTCATCAGCATTGTGCCACCATTTCACAGCTTCCATCCTTGTCCTTCATGTCATCTTTCTCCACCCCCTCTCCTCCCCTTCATGTTGTTTGCTTGTAATTCAAGCCTGCCAGAACAGAGACAAAGATTGCAACGTGGCCAGGAACAGTCAGGTCTGATAGGGTCCTCATAAATACTGGAAACCATGAAAACAAAACTTATCTAGAAAGTCCCTGCATAACTATTTTACTCTCTCTCTTTTAATCTCTCTTCCTTTTTATAGGTTAAAAAGCTTTGACTATATGCCAAAAATTAATGTTCCAAAATAAAAATTAGATTTTAATTGAAGAGGAAGTTTTAATTCTTTGTCAATTTTTTAATTTAATTTAATTTTTTAATTGATTTTATGGTCCTTGTCTTCTTGCGTCACCCAGTATGGACATGAAATTCAAAAACAGAGTTTATAGCGCTTCAGTTAAAATTGTTGCAGCCTTCCATCTGATGAGCAACCATGGCCAACTGAGCAGTTTATCTGAACGGCCCTGCTTTAGTCTCTGTATTGGATTTTGCTGATATGTTGTTTGGTTTTCACCAATCCCGGCACCACTCAGTATGGTACAACGTCTTTATTTAGCTCTGGTCCATCCAAAGGAAATTAGAAGTCTTGTTGTTTGTTCAGATGTAATTTTACCAACCCAAGTTAGACTGGCATGCATTCTTTTTGGACAGAAGAGGTTTTCTTTTGGCTACCAGAATAAACAAGCCAGATTTGTTCAGTCCTATTTTTGATAGGGATTTTTTTTTAATCATTAATGCTGACATTGAGATGAACTTCCTTGGATGTGGAATGTTTCCTGTTTTCTCACTGCAGAGTAATTGACTCTAAATTGTTTGGAAATTGGTTTTGTAAGCTTTTCTCAGAATGATGGTCAGATCACTTCTGATGCAGTAAGACCAACCTAAAAGCCCCAAAACTTTTACTATTATATAGATTCCTACTCTGATGATAAGTTAGTGAAGTAGGTTTCAATAAGCTTCCTGCTAGTTTTCCTCTACATTACAGACATCAAAACATTGATTTTCTTTGTTATTCCACAAACTACTTGTGCAATTTTGCTGTTTCGTTTTTTTAAWGATGACTGTCAAACAAGGCATGTTTAATTTAGTTATGTTTTAGTTTATTAACCAAACAAATTTAAATGCCTCTTGTTGGAGGTCAGACTGACAAATGGAACTCAATGCCAACCATCAATGATGGACAGACACTTTTATTTTGAAAAGAAAAAAGGAAAATTGGATTCTACAGAGTTTTAGTCATTCAGGAATTAGAAATTTATCAGGGATTAAGTGGTGTTTTAATGACAATATAGATATAATTGCATAACTCTCACACCTTCCATTGTAAAAACAATGTACAAAAATGTAATAATAATTTGGGAGCATTGAGGAAATTAGCACAAAATCCACCATCAAACATGATTACATTAATTTTTGTTCCTTTTGCATTTTGTCATTTGCAAATTTCATGAACAGAAAGCTTTTTGATTCTTTCCCGAGACAGATGTTTTAGGACGCACTATCTGAAAGTCACCTTTTTATATTTGGTCATCAATTATTTAAAGGGGCAATATTTATGTGTTTCTCAGGCGTTTTTTTAAATATTATACCATGATAAAATATCTATGTAAAATTTAGTTGTTATTAAAATGCTGTTTTTAGGTTTAAATCGAAAATAAACTTATCTTCTCATCTTTTCCTCTTCTAAACGCCTTGAAATTGGCCCCCGTCTCTTTAAGAACCACCTACCGCTTCTGTCCCGCCCATTTTAGCGCGGGGGGTGGGGGTTCGCACGCACGCTATGATGCAGTTTACTTAGCATCTGAAAATACATTTCTTCAAAGGTATTTTTAATCTGAAAATAGCTTCACTGAGTGAGAAGTAGTGTTAGGAGCTCAGCAGACAGTTTCAGTTTCACTTTCAGTTTCACCCGTTGTTTGATTCGTTACTGGCGAGAGCCGGCAGGAGTCATGGGCGGGGTGTGTGGGGTGGGGGGTGGGGAGGTGTGCTCCGTGATGAGGAAGCTCGGCTTGGAGACACAGCCCAGAGGTGGAGATGGTCCCAAAATGCGTTTCTAGTCCCAACCGGTCGTTTTTGCTCCCCTGCCTGCTGCCTCAGGACACTACAGGATTTCTCACACGTGCATGAATGAGTCAAAGTAAGACTTTGGACATGTTTTTTTATGAGAGGATAACATAACATGATATAAAACTCAAAAAAGTTGAATTTACATGATGTAGCCCCTTAAAGATGTTTTTTTAAATTCATCTTTACATGTAGCTCATACTGAATGTAGAGTTGCTTCATGTTGATTCATGCCTTGTTGTGCAGTACAGTTGTATTGTAGGCTGTAAAAATAATTAAATTGAACATAGTAAAGATGATTAAAAAAAGGGACTTGCTGGTGAGATGTTAGATGGAGTAGKGAGTGTGGGAGTGGAGGTTGACTGTTGCAGAACAACAGAACAACAATTGATGTGTTCTGTGTTTGCAGGTCAGGTGTATTCTTCGGTGTGAACATCACAAATACCCACGCACTAACGTGAACATGCATGCAGCGGTTTTCTTCACCACGCCGCATCTGTCTGCACATTTGCCCCTTGTAGCTTTAAAATACTGTAAAGCCCGTTTTTTTTTTTTTAAAGTACCGCATCTCAAAAACCACACTCCAAGACCATGTAATACAACTCTCCCACGCACTCAAACACAAAAGGGCACACTCRCAGAGATTAATCGTACCCCTGCACACACTCCCCATCCATCTGCCTGAGGTGTGTTCTGCTTCTGCAGCAACAGTGGCCATGCAWTAGATCTATCACTCGTCTTTTCGAACATCACGGCGTGTGTGCCTGTTCTGGCTGCTCTTTTCCACCACCGCGCAGGCCCTTCAATGAGCCTCTCTATCTTCCCAACGCTGACTCACTCCCTCACCGCTCGCCTCACTCTGTGACACACTCAACATGATCAGCTGCATGTGCTTTCCCGAGTACACACATGTGCTTTGGATGGATCCCAGTTCAGAGAGAAACAGGAAGTTCTGAAAGTGCTTCAGGGCTKTTGTGGATAAGAGGAAGCATTCAGCTCTTCATTTCACACATCGCGCTCATGCTCCTCTGTACTCATGCTCGTCTTCTCTATCTTTATCTCTTGCCCTGCACTTTCACGTATACTTTAAAAAATACAACAGTGATTTGGGGTTTACATCAAAGATGGAGCGGGGGATTGGAAACGGCAGAGGGAGTAAGAAAAGGGATAGATTACGACAACTCAAAACCTCTCATTTGCCATCCGTGCCCACAAGGGCCTCTTAAAAGGCAGCGACGGCATTTGAAATAAAGCAGCGCTGACCAAATGAGGACCTTTTATTTTATTTTTTTCTGCCAGGGCCTGGAGGCAGAGGAAATGACCTCAGCCCTTTAAAGGACCTCCGTTTCCTCCTCCGCCGCTGGGAGATAAAACCGCGCCGAGCTTCACCGGCCTGACTGGCGCTCTGCCGCGACAGCCCACCGCAGTGAATTGTGGGAGACAGATGAGATGAGACGATAGTCTCTTGTGGCTGTGTGTTCGACAGTTTGTTGTTGTTCATTTCTTCGCCCTGTAACTTGCCATCCGTTTTACACGGAGATGCTAAAAACTCTCAAGGGCATTACATAAACTTACATCTTGAAAGAATTACTGTCACATTTACTCTAGAACGTGGGTGGCTTGATCTTAAATGCACTATCTTCCTGTTTTACCCACATAAACTCCAATTACATTTAAAGCATTCAGGTTTTTTGTTACTTAAAGCCTCAAATGATATATATTCTGTTTAAATTTAATTAAACATTATTGCAGACTCTTGCTAATTTGAAACTTTTGTTTTGGAATATTGAATCAGTTTGGCTGTGCTTAATGGCACAYAGTTATATTTTAAAATGTTGTCAGGAATGTGACTATTACAGTCCAAAGAATCCCCTGTCTCAGGATCAACCGCATGTAGAGAAATAGTTTGTCACGTTGTGTAAAAAGCAAATTTATTACTTCATCACATTCAAAAAAATCTTTGATTGGATTGAAAAGTATTTGGATTAAATAATCCAACATTAGTCTGATC